TATGAATGTCGCTTGAAGTCGGAGTTTGGTCGGTTCCTTCTCTTCGGTAATCGCACAAAGATGGTGGAATGATGAGTTGGTCTTTACGTGGTGTTTTCTTACTCTCCAAAGCTTTTGGGGATGCTGACCTGCGCTTTAGCTTAATCGGTGCCCCTTCTTTGTTTTCTCCGTTCGGTTAATCTGTCTAGGTATGTTTGTTTTTTCCTTTTCTCTGCAATTGCTGTGTATTGTTCTGTTTATGTAATTTTGGTTGTTATTTGCTCATCTTTGTCGGTTTTTGTTTGACATTGTTTCGATTTCTACTTCTCTATTTCTTTTGCTTTTGTTTTCTTTCTTTATGTCAAAGCGGAAGTTCTGTTCCTCTGATGCCTCTTCTTCTCTACGTTGTTCTCCATTTTCACGGCAGTCTAAGAGGAATCGTCTTCTCACGTTGGTTGATGATTCTTCTCTACCCATTGGTCTTCCTGAGGTTGATGATTGTGGTGATTGTACATGTGTGTGTGAATTTTGTGGAGCATTGTTTTGGTTTGCAGAAAGGGTTGTAAGTCTTTCTCGTGTGAATCGACCTATGTATACCCAGTGTTGTAAATCGGGTTCAGTTGTGCTTCACTTTCCATTTAAGCCACCACCTGAACTTTTTGAACTGTATATGAAATTTGCATTTTTGGATAACATAAGGGGATATAATAGTATGTTTTCTATGACTTCATTCGGGGCAAAAGTTGATGAGTCTGTTAGAAAGGGTCGTGGTCCTTATGTATTTAAGATTTCCGGACAGATTTTTCATCGGATAGGTTCTTTATGCCTGGAGGAAAACAAAGGTCCTCGGTTCTTACAGTTGTATGTTTGTTACTCTGAAAATGAGGTCTCTAATAGATTTAAGGCCTTTGAGTCTTCTAATGGCAGAAAGCATGAGGATTGGGGTTGTAGAATGCCTTTGGATGTGGGTGTTGTTCGGTTGTTGATGCACTTATTAGCGACTCATAACGAATATGTTCGTACTTTCAAAACAACGAAAGAAATTGCTGATGGACTTGGTATTGAATCATATTCAGTGTGGTTGTTTAACGATGTGCCTGATCGTAGATATGGGCTACCGGCTCATGGTACATTAGGTTGTATTGTCACAGGTGATGATACTAATTATAGCAGGTACGATATTGTTATCCATTCGAAATCTGGTCGTCCTCAACGTGTCAGTAAACTTCATCCGAGTATATGCCATTACAATATCCGTTGTTGTTTCCGTTTGGTGAAGATGGTTGGTCTCCGCGTTTGAAGCTTTTCAATCAGATGGGAGCAGAGGCTAGGAATCTTACAATGAATATGTACTATAGTTATCAGATTCATGCACGTCATGGTATATTTTCTCTCATTCTTAACTCATGTCGTCTTTTTCAACAATACCTGGTCGATGCTTATACATGCATTGAAGAAGGTCGGCTGGACTACATTCTAAATCACCAGGAAAGCTTGCGTTCTAACTACATCAGTGGTTTGTATGATGCTTTGTCAAAAGGGGATAGAGAGAGTCAGGTGGTAGGAAAGCGTGTTTTTTTGCCTTCCTCATTCGTTGGTGGCCCCCGCTACATGTATAGTCATTATCAGGATGCTCTTTCTATATGTAGGGTGTACAGAAATCCACAGTATTTCATCACATTTACATGTAACGCTAAGTGGCTGGAAATTAGACGTTATATGGGAACACATCATCAGCATGATCCGCACAGCAGAGCTGATATCATTGCAAGAGTTTTCCAGATGAAGGTTGATGCCTTTATCCATTTTCTTAAGGATGATAAAACTTTTGGTGAAGTAGAAGCATGTACGTTTCTCTATTATTTTCAATTGATGTCCTTTTTTTTTATCTGCTTCTGATGAAAATATCATTGATGTTGCAGATCTATACACCATAGAGTTTCAGAAGAGGGGTCTCCCGCATTGTCATACGTTGTTGTGGGTTTCCAAGTTAGATAGGATACAGGATCCTGCAGATATTGACAAATATATAAGTGCAGAATTGCCCGACCCACAATTGCATCCAGCTTTATATCAGATTATTACTTCTTCCATGATTCATGGACCTTGCGGCTTACTGAATGTACGTTCCTCGTGTATGAAAGAAGGAAAGTGTAGCAAACATTTTCCAAAGCCTTTTAGAGGGGCAACTGCTTTCGATGACCAAGGCTATGCACAATACAAAAGAAATCCTTTTTCACGTCACACTTTGCATGATGGGATCGTCATTGACAATGGGTTCGTCGTTCCTTACAACAACAGACTTTGCAGCCGGTTCAATGCACATATAAACGTTGAATATTGTGGATGGAATATGATGGTCAAATATCTTTTTAAATATATTTCTAAAGGAGTTGAACGTGTAAGGTTTGTGATACATAAAAATGAAACTCCAGATTCTGCTGGAACTTCTGCACCTGTACGGGTTGTCAATGAGGTCGAGGAATTTCTTGATGGAAGATATATATGTCCTCATGAGGCATCATGGAGAATTTTCAATTTCCTCATACATCGACGACATCCAGCTGTGCAACTGTTACCGGTTCACTTGGAGAACATGCAACACGTTATCTTCAAAGAGAAAACTCATTTGATTGATGTTCTTCGCAATCCTTCTATTGGAAGGACACCGCTTATTGGCTGGTTCGATAGCAACGCAAGAGACCCAAAAGGATTAGATCTTACATACCTTGAATATCCAACTAAATACAAATGGAGTAAAAGATATAAAGAATGGGAACGCAGAGCTCTTGATTCATTAAAAACAATAGCGAGACTTGTATTTGTCCATCCTTCTTCTGGAGAACTATTTTATCTTCGAATGTTGTTGTGTCATCAAAAGGGCTGTAAGTCTTATCAAGATGTCCGAACTGCTTCAGGACGTGTTTATCTAACATATAGAAGTGCATGTGATGCTCTTGGGTTGATCGGAGAAGATAGAGAATGGTTAAATGCTTTTACAGAAGCTGCATCATGGGCTTCTTCTTCACACCTAAGGTCACTTTTCTGTCATTTGTTGCTGGTTTGTGAAGTAAGTACCCCAATTTTATTGTGGGAAGTTGCCTGGCCTAAGATGATAGATGACTTTGTTCACAACTTAAAAGGTGATATGCCACATAAGGAGTTGTGCATTAATGATGATTTGATGCGACAACATCTTCTTTTTGAGTTGGAGAAAACATTTCGTGCTTCTACGCCATCAAAATCTCTAGCTGATTTTCAGTTGCCTATGCCATCTTCTGATGCACTTGTAAAACTACACAACCGCTTATTACTAGAAGAAACGTCGTATAACAAGCAATCACTACACATCCAACACTCACATATGTTGTCAAAATTAAATGACGAGCAAATGGCTATTTATAATTCTATTGTTACTTGTCACAACCAGAAAAGACAAATGTTGATGTTCGTGTACGGCCATGGTGGAACAGGGAAGACATTCCTGTGGACTGTAATACTTGCCTACTTCAGATCACTTGGAAAGATTGTTTTGGCTGTGGCTGCATCTGGAATAGCGTCTCTATTGCTTCCATCCGGTCGGACTGCTCACTCAAGATTCAACATTCCAATTGACCTTTCTTCAAAGACATCATGTGAGATAAAGAAAAAAACATTGCTGGCAGATCTTCTAAGACAGACATCACTGATTATATGGGACGAAGCACCTATGAGTGATAGGAGATGTTTTGAATATCTTGATCGCTCACTTAGAGACATACTGGAATTTGATGACAAGTTGTTTGGTGGGATGTCCGTTCTACTTGGAGGTGACTTTCGTCAAACGTTACCAGTTTCTCCAAAAAGTACGCGTGCAGGCATCATTTCACTTTCCCTACCAAATTCCTACATATGGCTTGCTTTTCGCGTTTTCAAACTTCATCGAAATATGAGGTTGCTTACGGACGATATTGGTTATGATGGAAGCATGACAACTGTTGAGTTTGCCAACTGGTTGCTTGATGTTGGAAACAGAATCTTAGGAGTACCGGACACGGACGACCCACAGAGCACGAACTGGGTTACAATACCAGATTCTCTTCTAATACCTTCTGGAGATAACTCCTTGCAACATCTTATATCATTTGTTTATGATAGAAAAATATTAGCTGATCCTTCTGCCAACAATCTCTCTGTCCGAGCTATAGTCTGCCCTACAAATGATGTTGCGGACAAAATCAACACTTTAATTTTACAAATGACAGACGGTGATGAGGTTACTTATAGAAGCATGGATGCTATGCAACCGAATGGTAAGCATACATCAGAATTGGAAGATCTGTATCCTATTGAATTTTTGAATGGGATGAATTTCTCAGGCATTCCAGCCCATGCACTTACACTCAAAATAAACACGCCGATTATGTTATTGAGGAACATCAATCAAAGAGAAGGTCTATGCAACGGAACGCGATTGATTGTTTCTCAACTACTACCAAACATAATTGAAGCAACAATAATAACTGGGACATCTATTGGGAACCGCGTGTATATTCCACGGATAAAGTTTATCCACAATCCTGCTGATTTACCTTTTGCCTTCTCGCGAAAACAATTTCCGATCAAAGTCTGCTATGCTATGACTATAAACAAGAGCCAAGGGCAGTCTTTGAAAAGAATTGGTGTATATTTGTCTCAGCCAGTATTTACACATGGTCAGCTTTACGTTGCACTGTCGAGGGCAACATCTCCTTCCTCACTGAAAGTTCTGATAAACAGTAGTAGGACCAACTCTGATAATCAGACAAAAAATGTTGTTTTTAAAGATTTGTTGCATGTAGTTGACAGTAATGAAGTTCATTAAACCTTTATTTGACATTTACGTTACTTTTTTTTTCATATGTCTCTCACTTTGTTGTCTCTGTTTTCAGATTGATATTCAGATTCTAAGTGTACATGGTTACCAAAAAAATATTTACTATTTACGTATCTGCCACCAAAGTTCCTTACAAATCACTTTTAACATGAACACTTACAAACAAATGAATACCATCTCTGACTTGACATACGGATGTGCTGGAAATCCTTTACAAATTCGGATTCTACGGAAATGGAAGCCACAATTCCGCCGTCACGAAACATGGTTTCTTGGAGTAGACAAAAATGTATGCATATTTTTAGCATTAAAATTTCTATGCATTACGACTACATACCATCTTCTTACTGAAATATCATATAACAGGGAGATGCGATTCAAATTTTGGGACAGAGAACAAACCAGAGTTTCATAGAATCAATCTTCACCGTCTCTAACTGCTATACATTATCCCACTACAACTGTCCCAATCTTGATGAATATCAGAAAATTGTAGAAAATAACATCTATGTAGATGTTGGCCTTGCTTCTGCAATCGAACGTATTCCGGATACGGTCACAATACCAAGAACATGGTTTCGGTTTGTCTCAGAGCCTGGTTTAAATGACTTTGCTGAAAATCCTCCATACCTTCCAGGTACGGATATGAACTCATCAGCACATATCACATTCCTGTTCATTACAATGTTACTATGTAAATTGCAGACTTCATTGGCTTATTATCAAGACTCAGAGAATGCAAGAAGGAATGCATCGATGAGCCTGAAAAATTTAATCGTGAAGAACTTGCATCACCTCCTACAGCAACAATTGTTGTTGTTACCAGCTTAAAAGCATCTTCTTTCGGCGGTACTAGAGATAAAAAACACACACATATAACGATGAATATAATTTTTATATTTTTTTCACATCCTTACTCATAATCACTTTTCATCACAAATGTCATAGGTGTTTACTGATATGGTTCTTCAAGTGCAACCCACGTCTATGTGAACCCCAAATTACAGAAGCAACAATTCTCAGACAAAGGTATATAATGCCTAAAAAAACTGATACTATATTGGACAAAATTACCCTCATACACACTTTCTCTCCTTTTATAGCTTTACTGGGTCCTCACAACGTCCAACTACAAGTTCTGCAAACCCGTCAATGTTAAAAGACATTATGAACAAGTGTCATGATGATCTACAGGTACGACATACATCATTATCGTTTCGATAATTATATTGTATACTACACAATAAACACAAGCCTATCGATGTTGACAGGGGAAAACTTTTTCTGTTAGAGGAACAATATCAAAAATTACATTTAAGGATTATTGGTACCAGGTTGTATGTACCAACTGTAAGGATCCGATATGTGAACAGGGCGACAAATGGTTTTGTACAGGACATGGAATAATAGCCTCCCCAATCTTTCAGTAAGAACTCGCACTTTAAACTATTAAATTAGACCATTAACAACTAATAACAATGAAAACTATTTTTATATGTAGGTATAAACTGAATGTAACCATAACCGATCCCACAGGATCTATACCAACGACCTTATCTGATAACACAGCACATAAACTATTTGGTGCTGGTCCTGATAAAATAATAACAGATACTTCTGACAAGGACAAAAAAACCTTACCTCTTATCATCAAAGAATGTGAAGGGAAACTCAGACACATGTATGTTCAGATGACAAGGTCCTCCACCAAGAACAACATTCGGTTCATAATCATTGGTATCGAAGATGGAAGCTCCATAAGTCAATCCGCAATACCAGCAACTCCTTTGCCCTCCACACAATCGACGGTTACCAAAGGTCATACCAACATTCCACTGTCATCCTCATCTCACAGCACAACAATTGCAAGAAATCTATCCTTTGAAGGTATATATAAATGATTTTTCTTTACCACATTAGAAAGATTAATCAACTCTGACATGTTCCTATTTTATAACAGATAAATCACCTTATGATAAAGAAGGAAAGCGTAAACGCAAGCAGTGAAAGCGATCAGTGTCGTCTAATAACATAATCAGGGCTATCCTATTTTGATATGCTATGGCATGACTAAAGACATATTATTACCTATGTTTTGAGTATGTAAGCAACTCATATATAAACTGTTGTACAACACTAATGCATGTTTTTTTTATCAAACCACCATATATGAAAAACAACATATCATCTAAGGATAAATAAATAAAAAAAATTATTCCCATATGGTCAGAACTGCTTCTTTTCCAATATTCCATCCAAAATAAAATCATTATAACAATGAAACATAACAATATTACAAAAACATTTGTTACAAAAATTAAAAAAACAAATCAACTAAAAACACCATAAAATAAATAAGAAATATATAACACGAAACAAAACAATATCCACAACTTTATTCGAATCATACACCTATTATCAAAAGCTACATCATAGGTTATTACCACAGTTACCAATAAAAGCCAGCACATCATAAAAATAGACTTACTAATCTAACATCCAACACACTTCAAAAAATAGACAAGGCCACGTATTTATATTACAACTGTTTACCAAATCCACCTGGCCATTGACCAAAGGCAAACATAGCATCCATACACACTATATAAGACACAATATATTCATTCTACCCATAGAAAATAACAGAACCACTCCATCCATCAAAACAAAAACATGAAGAATGAAGACGTTCACGCCATACTCAAGGCACTTATCGAGCACATTTGAGAGATAGCCGATATTATAGAAGCTGCACAGACAAAGCTTGAAGAAGGATTCGACATGCCCAATACCAATTACGGCACCATGCCAATCGACACAGATGACAGCAACTACAACACCATAAAAAACATTATGCAAGAAGTGGAGGTTGAAGATGTCTCCATGGCGGACAACATATCGTTCATGCTCGCCTCAATCCATAAAAGGATTGGCAAGTACAAGAGGACAATGGCAACTCACCCTCGTAACTAAAAATCCATGTTCTTTTGATGTAGTGCTGATGTACGTAATGCAGTGCCTGTGCACGCAATATTAAATAAAATAACGTACTCACTAATGGCCTAAACAAAAAGCATATATCTATAAATCTTGTATCAGAAAATTTCCCAACCAATCTACAAAAGCTACAAACACCTACACCTCACCCATCAAACATAATGAACATTTGAATACTATGTCTGCAAATCTTTCAAATCTTACCGTCCATTTTGTCCCCTTCGATTCATTTAAACATATACAGTCAACAGAAAAGCTATGTCTACAAATCTTTCAAATCTTACCGTCCATTTTGTCCCCTTCGATTCATTTAAACATATACATTCAACAGAAAAGCAAACACCCATCTAACCCATGCAACGCATGGGATCCTACACTAGTTATTATTACTTTTCATGATTTGAGTTTTAAAACTATTTTTTGGATCATTTTGTTTTTACATATTTAAAACATAAACTATTAAAAATCATACTAATAGTATTAATAATAATAATATTTATAAAATAATTATAATATATAATAATGGTAACACATGTGTTTAATATACAAACAAACAAACAAATGAAGAAAAAATGTGTTGAACATACAAACAAACAAACGAAGAAAAAACTACGTTTAACACATCAATAATGTGAAATTATTTACGTTTAATGTATAAATAATGAAAAATAATGATAATTATGGGAAATATGTATGTGTATGAGTATGTATGTATTTATGTATCTATGTATGTGAGTGTATGTATGTATGTATACGTACATATGTGTATGTATGTGTATGTGTATGTGTGTGCTTAGGTATATGCATGTGTATATGTATGTATGTATATGTATACATATGTGTATGAATGTATTTGAATGTGTATGTATGTATAGGTGTATATGTATGTATGTATGTATGTATGTATGTATGTGTGTGTATGTTTTTTAAAAGAAACAAAGTAATTTGTTAGAGAAAGTATAAGCATTACAATGTTAACAATGAAACGAGTAATGGATCTCAAATGTGAACACGATTTTATGGACGATAATAATAGCTATAATTTGGTGAAAGTATAGATAACAATGTATAATAGAGGTGTGAAAAAAAAAACCGAAAAAAAAAAAAGTTTTGTGCCCGAAAATACAAAAATAAGAAAAATCTGTAGGTAATTACCTACTAACTGGTGATGAAATTTTGACGCAAAGTCTTTTCCATAGCTATTAGGTAATTACCTACGGGATAGCTACATAAAAGACTTTCCGTCAGAATTATGTCACCAAACCCTAGGTATTAACTACGGATTAGCTACGATTTTTTTTTTTTTTTTTTAGTATTTTTGGGCACCGACCATCTTTTTTTCTGCTTCATTTTTTACACTTCTATTATACATTATTATATATACTATCACCAACTTATAGTTATTAATATCATTCATAAATTCGTATATACCTTCGAGATCTATTATTCGTCTCATGGTTTAACATTGTAATGCATATGTATGTATGTATGTATGTATGTATGTATGTTTGAATGTATGTATGTATGTTTATGTATATATATGTTTATGTGTGTATGTGTACGTGTATATATGTGTGTATGTGTATGTATATGTATGTTTATGTGTGTATGCATGTATGTGTATGTGTGTATATGTATGTATATGTGTGTATGTGTGTGCGTATGTATATGTATGTGTGTGTATGTGTATGTTCTTATGTATATGTATGTTTATGTATTTAAAAGAAACAAAGTAGCTTGTTAGTGAAAAGTATAAGCATTACAATGTTAACAATGAAACGAGTAACAGATCCCAATGATGCACACGACTTTATGGACGATATTAAAAGCTATAAGTTGGTGAATGTATGATAATAATATATAATAGATGTGTAAAAAATTATGCAGAAAAAACGACGGTCGGTGCCCGAAAATACGAAAATAAGAAAATTTTGTAGCTAATCCGTAGGTAATTACCTACGGATTGGTGACGGAATTCTGAGGGAAAATCTTTTATGTAACTATTTCGTAAGTAATTACAATATATGCTTTTGTTAAATTACAATATATGTTTTTGTAAATTAGATTCACTATAACGTTTTGGTAAATTAGATTTTATATAAATTACAATATATATTTTTGCTAATTTGATGAGGACTTTGAACCTACCTAATCAATTGAAAAAGAAAAATGAGAAGTGAAAGAGGAGGTAATGATAGTAATGGTGATCTTTTTCAAAGTTTGTCAACAACAAATTAGGTTATGCATCTACCACATAAAAAACTTTTAGTAAACAACATAATTATATTTAAATCTAAAAACCCTAGAACAAATAGAAATGATACATACCTTAAGAGCGCATAATACCTTTTTTCCATGGACAAGCTAGGAAATAGTTTTTGTATATGAATCACAATAACACTCAGCATAATATCATATAGAACCTGGTTTTTATTCAAACCGGGTTATATATGGATATGACTATTACTCGTTTTTATAGTACTAGACGTACATAATAAATATTGTTGATCGAGGACATATTTGGCTCAAAGAAGCTCCTAATCTCATATATATATATATATATATATATATATATATATATATATATATATATATATATATATATATATATATATACTAGTTTCTAATCCGTGGGCACCACGGATTAGAAAGGTAAAAATAATTTTAATTAAATTATAAGGTAATTATTGAGCAATGATAAAAAAAAATTAATAATTTAATAAATTAGGCATTAGATATTACAAATAATTTTTTTGTTGACGTGTTTGATATGTGTAAAATGAAGGAGTAAATTAATGAGGAAAAACCTTAGAATGACAAGTGGCAAATAATTAATGTGAAGCTCTAATTGATTGACACGTGACAAATGTGTTATTCTTTTATTATATATATATATATATATATATATATATATATATATATATATATATATATATATATATATATATATATATATATATATATATAAGATTAAATGAGAACCACTAAAGATTAAGAAACCTTTAACAACTATTTCATTAAGGGTATTTTTGTCTATTTAATATAATCAATACAAATAAAGACAAAAGTTTCATTTTAAAATCAGATCTATCTTTTCAACTGACAAATCATTTCAAACTCTTCCATCCATTTTAAAGGACATATATTCCCTATTACCAACACCACCTACCGCCTCCAGCAGAGAACCGTCGCCGGAAAATTGCCTTCACCTCTCCACTATTGTTATTCTACCACTGTCTCCACCACACTTGACGTCCAGATTTATGTTTTCTGACAACCTTCAGATCTGCGATTTTCTGGTGGCCTCTAGATTTGTGATTTTCTGACAGCCTTCAGATGTTCGATTTTCCAACCGATGTTGCACTAGATCTTCCAGACCTATGATTTTTTGACCACCGCCACCTCCCATGCCTCTCAATTATGTACTGCGACGATCACGACCAGTAGCACCTCCTTGTATCAAATCTGATGCAGTTGCTCCGGTGAAACACAACAAACTCGCATCCATCTCTTTCTACATGATTTCTAGTGACAAGCCACTAGATCTATATCAGATCTGATGTATTTTAGTTCAAAAATTGACAAACAACACCATTACCTTCAACCGCCACCACCACTGATGTCCCGACACTCTGATGAAACACTTCCATATCACCTCTATCTCTTTTTATCTGGCATTCAGTTACACACCACAAGATTTGCATGAGATTTGATGTGTTTGATGTATTTTAATTGTTGATATGGTGGTTATTATGTAGTTCCCGGTGGTTCTGCCACCAGATATGATCTGTTTTACCTCCCCCCCCCCCCTTCTTCTATTCCTCACGTAGTTTTTCTATGTCATCACTGATCGCACCATACTAGATCTACATAGATTTGATCAAATCTAACATTTAGATGTGATTTCATAAAGCCTTTTGTTTTCTAACAAGCTTCATCGCCTCATATCATTTGAAAAAGCCTCCAATGTGATCATCCTCTTAGATATAAAGTCAAAGACGCACCAATTTATTAGATGTAGCCAGATCTGGTTGTGCTTTATGCATTTTCAGGCAAAGATCTTATGTTTATGGAACATTTCATGGTGGCTAGCATTGGGTCAACCACCGCATCAGATATGTTCCATAACCACAACCTGTTTCTCTTTATTATTATTTTTTATCTAATATGTTAACTGGTGTTGGTCTTTTTATAAAGAAGTTCTGGAAACAATGTGCACATAAGGTGTTTGATGAAAAACAATATTCAAAGACTCTAAGGAACATGAAAATCTTAGATCTGTAATTCACCTCATATTTGGAAACAATGTGCACACAAGGTGCTTGATGGCATGCCTCAACTAGATGTGTAAGTTTTTAAGTTATGAATAAGTGATTAAAATTTTGTATTAAGTTGTGAACTAGTGTTTGGAATGTGTATTATACTATGAATTTTTATTTTTTGATACGTTTGTTTGTGAATTAGTGTCTAAAATATGGAATTAAGTTTTGAATTAGTGTATGAAATATTGTATTAAACTGTGACTTCTAGTTCTTTTATCCATATATGAATTTTATACATGTAAATGAGTTGTGAATGTAGTGTATTAAACTATAAATATGTGTTTTATATATTAATTTGTGGATACATAAGTTGTTAAGATGCAAACATGTATTTTTTATGAACTAAGTTGTGAATTATTATCTGAAATATTGAATTAAGTTGTGAATTAGTGTTTGAAATATTGAATTAAGTTGTGAATTAGTGACTGAAATGTTGAATTAAACTGTGAATTCTGATTTTTTTTTAATCCATATCTGATTGTTTTTAAGGAATGACGTTGGCGATGTTGACATTGAGGCTTTGTGGCGGCTGTGGTTGATGACAATGTATAGTAGTTGGCAGTGTTGATAATGTTAGTGGTTGTAGAGTAATGATAAATTATATTTCTCACTCATCTTCTTTGTTGATTTCAGGTAAGTTATCCTTTTTTATGA